GAGCCTCAGTTTCCTTCTTTCTAAAACCAGCATAATATTATGTAACATTGTGATTATAATATTTGCCATGCCTACTTTCAAAGGTGTTATAAGAATCAAATGGCCAGGCTTAGTGGCTCACTCGTATAATCCCAGCACTTTGGGAGGTGAGGCGGGTGGACCATCTGAGGTCAGGAGTTCAAAACCAGCCTGGCCAATATGGTAAAACCCCATCTCTACTAAAAATACAAAAATTAGCCAGGTGTGGTGGTGGGCACCTGTAATCCCAGCTACTCAGGAGGCTGAGACAGGAGAATCGCTTGAACCTGGTATGCAGAGGTTGCAGTGAGTGGAGATCGCGCCACTACACTCCATCCTGGGCAACAGAGTAAGACTCCGTCTTGAAAACAAAACAAAACAAAAAAGAATCAAATGAGAGACCATATAGAAAGCAAATAGCAGGTATCAAAATGAAAACCTGTGTGATTTTACTTTGCATGCCATACTAGGAGTCCCCAGTCCATTGGGTATTTGAGACTCACATAACATAATGTGTCGTAAGTACTTAGAACAGGGGCTGGGAAAGAGGAGGCACTCATTGTATGGGACTTGTCTTTAGGATGTTAAATAGAACCTTTCACCTGTAAATTAATTGGTTAGTTGATATAAAGTTGGTATCTTTTAGATAAAATAAAGAATATACATGCCTAGGACTATAAGATGTGGGGGAATTGAGATAAAATTTAAATCCACTGATTCCAACCATGTCCTCCATCAATTTTCCCCATTCTTCCACATAGTGTATCACCAGGACCCTGCCTCCCTACCTGATGGGTATTCGCTTGGTTGATATCCTGGAATGAGTTCATCATTTGTACCTCACACTATATTGTCTCTGACAGGAGCCATTAAAGAGAAAGACTTTTTGTTTTACATTGAACGATCTGAAGAGCCATTTTAAAGTAAAATCAAATAATGGCATTTTTATAACCAGGGTAAATTTCTTTGCCTTTTCCGTCTTGTCAAATGCAGTGTCCCTATTCGTGGATGCTTATTGTTTAGACTCAAGTAGATTAGATTTCCTCATTTTCCCTCTTCCTAAAGCCACGGGTACTGATACCTGCTCAAAAAGATAACAACGATAACAAAGTGTAGTTGAGTTTGTGCAAAATTAGAGACACTGGAATGCTGAGTTCTTGTAGAATCAAAGTTGAGAAAAAACTCTGGAGCAAAAAATAATGCATCATTTAAGTGGATCCTTTCCAGTATCATGGAGGAAAAATCACTACTGTTTCTCATTTAAGTAGATCATAATATTGACCATCTCATGGGGGTTTTGTGAAGATTCTATGAAATCGTATTGGCACACAGTTCCTGTTGAGTAAATGTTGAATATTCCTATGGGAAACAATGGGCTTTAGTGACGGTTCTCAGATGTCCTTGGATGGAGGAATTGGATGACAGTTTTTCCTGCAGTCAGGGGACTCCGAGGGTGAGCAGCTTCCCACCTGGGCCCTGGTCTTAGGAAACTTCACCCTAGGCTCATGTCGGGGGTGCAGGTAGGAAAAAAGCCTCTAAAGGGGCTGGGTTATCTTTGCCAAATGGGAATGTATTTCCAGTATTCACAAATCTTCTAACGTTTCACAGAAAGCCAGATATTGCTATTTTTTGTAAAATATTTTATTTTTACATGTTGGATATTAATTTTAAATTTTTAAACATTCTGCAAGGCAAATGCAGTGTGTTTGCAAACAGCGTTGGGCCAGATAACCACCAGTTCACTCACTGCCTTTGCTCTGAAAGAATACAGTCTATCCCCAGGGATGCTGTTTCGTAGGAGAATCTCAAAGCAAATGAATGTAAAAAATATTGCTTATATTTTTGTCAGCACATGTAAAATGGAATCTTGGTGGAATAAATGGAATTTGGAGAATGCATGATACTATCCCTACAGGGTTGAGTAGCATAGAGTTTGGAGAGGGTCAGCTTCAGTTATAGTCTGGTTTCTATTGTTATATCCAGTTTCTGAATTTACCTCTCTAAATTCAGTATTTTGTCTGTGAAACAGGGATGATAATGCTCCCCGCACACAGAAGCATGCACTCACCTACACACATTAGGCTTTTGTGAGGATCTCGTCAGTGATGCAGGTTAAATCTTTAGATCATGAGCCAAACCCAGTGAACTCCTAGAAAAGGCAGCTGCTTCCTTCGTTCAGTCCTAGCTGCCGCTACCCTTCATTCAGCTCAAGAAAAACAGCCTTTATTTAACTGAGACTGGCTGGTGAGCAAGACTACTCTTGGGAGCACATTAATTTGTATTTGCTCAGATTTGGGGTTTCTTTAAAGTCCAGTGGAACACAGGTCCAATTGGCACTGGTTTTTAAGTATTCATGATGTGCACTCCTTAGTAATTCCCTGCAAGAGACATATGTGTTATGTGGGTTTTCAAGCTATACTTACTTGCAAGTTAAAACGGCAGAGAACTTTATAGTTTCAGGACTGGTGGGAACTGGCTTATTTAAGAAAATCTATGATGAGAGAGGTCTCCTTCTGTCTGTTTCCCTGACATTATAGCCTTGCATCTATTGTTTATTTTTCTATTTATTATATTCATTGGCACAAAGATGCAGCCACACCAGGGGGAGAACATGCTAGTAGGAATTAGAGTGGGGTTAGCTTTCCCCACCCTATGCTTTTCCAATCCCTGGATAACATTTTCCCCCTTTTCCGCTGTAAATGCTTACTTCAAATATTATTTTGATGTACTTTCCCCCAAAAAAACCCTTTCATAGGCGTAGTTATGGAATCTTAGATTCATGGACTGGAAATTGATACAGAAATTTTGTCGCTGGTTCTCTGGGGAAATAGCTCATGCTGTTACTCCTGAATCCTAAGTAGCTGCCTTATCACTTGGCTTGGAATGCTAGGAGAAAGAGCTTGCAAAGAGCCATTTCAGCCACTGAGTTTCCTCCTCTTTCTTTATAGATGAGGGAGGGAAGCCTTCCCAAAGTGGGTTGCATTTTTCCCAATGCATAACGAATTTGCAATTGAAATTTAAGAGAACGTACATCTTTTGTAAAATACTAAAACCTTTTATTGTCATGAAAGTAAATTTTATCATAGAAACACTTAAAGACACAGTAAAAGCAGAAGGTAGGAAAAGGACTCAACTAAATCTATTGACAGTGAACATTAGTCCATTTCCTTAATTTCCCCCTGTACATTTTAATTGTATCCTATTCATGTTGGCATATAGATTTGAATTCTGCTCCTTTTGGTCAGTATTAAGTATAAACATTTTTTGTCTTATGATTCCATATTCTTTATAAACACATTCATGATGTTGCAAATACTTCATCTGTAGACTTGCCATAATTAAGCAGGGTCTTAGTGTGATATCTTGGGATGGTTTCTGATCATTACTATTATACACAATCGTAATAGTAATAACCAACATTATGGAGCATTTGCCAATGTCAGCCACTGTGTTCAGGGTTTCATGTGCATTATTGCATGGATTTCTCAATAGCAGCTGAGACAGTTTCTATTGTCATCCCCATGGGCAAATGAGGTCACCGAGGCCGAAAGAACGTATTTAATGAGCCCAAGGGCCAATGGCTCACACGTGTTAGAGGCAGGATTGGGTGGTTGGAGTTTTCCGGTTTTTTCTGTGTTTGGATTCATGACCAGAATAACAATGTGGAGCCCTGCCTAGATTTAGGCGCATGACAAAGCAGGTGGAGCACCCAAAGTGCGGCTGGATTTCCAGAGACTGACCTTCTCTCTTGCCTGAATGAACCAACAGAAGTGATGTTCTTAATGGAACAGGTGCTTCCTCAGATCAGTTGGTTTTTTCCTCCTTGTTACTTAGGCAGCTCCTGTTTCTGTCAGAAAGTTGGGGGTCTCATTTTAGGACCCAGAGGAATGTGCAATTTCTATTTCTTTTTGGGAGGCTTGGGGGTAGAGCGGCGTTAGGTAGAGTTTGGGGTTGTCTCTGAAACGTCTCAGAGGACTGACTACACAAATACTCTTCCACAGAGAGATCAGTAGAGGCCACACCAGCCCAGAAGTCCTGAGATTGAAGGTTTAGTCTGAGCTCCACCTTGTGGTAGCTGTGGGTATGCAGGAACGTCCGTCCGTACTCACCTCAATTTCCTCATCTCTTAATTAAGGAGGGGAGTGTTTTCTCTTCCTGTGTCCTAGGAAGAGAGTATCTCGAGAACCAGTGGGAGAATTATGATGTCCTGTTTGTTTCTTCCTATCTGGGTCCAATTTCTCCTTCTGATAAGAACCCCCAGCTTTCCTCTGAAGATGAACTTTTTCCTCACAGTCTATGTCGTTCCAATGGGGCTGAGTCGACTCTGTGGCTCTCTGTCCATGACCTTTCTGAAGCCAAGAAAAAATACACACCCTCAATAACGGCTTCAGATATGTATCTGTGATCCAGGCCAGATCTCTCAGAGCAATGTTTGAGGATGAGGTAATCACAAAGCAATCCAAAATTGAGCACACTTCCCAGCCTGTTCCATGGAGCGTGTTCCATTTATAGGCCATCAGTCCCTCATGTCTCTGTCATGGTGTATACAGCTCTCTCTGGCTGCCCGGGCTGCCACTTTCCATCTTCATCCCTGCGTAATCATCTGTGTTGACATGTGTTGCGTTTACCTGCTCAGCATCCATCCCCCCCTCCACCCCAACCCTGTCTGATGTACTAACTTCCTGGGGCTGTCAATCAACGTGCCCAATGCTCTCTTGGCAGAGGGGTAAGGGAGCAATCTAGGACATGCACATACTCTCCTCAGCAACATAAATCTTGAGTTGGAAAGGCTGAAACCAGTTGGAGCTGCTTTATCCATTTGTTGCTGTGGCAACAAATACGTCCTCTTAGCTCCTGTTCAGTTTCTGTATTTCCCAAAGCCTGCTTTTTCTCTTTACCTTTGATGCTGTAATCAATATTATTTTTCTTTCAGTAGAATTCTATTCTGGGGCAAGATAACCAAATTTGTTTCAAAGAAAAATTGCACTCAACCTTTCCCTTCTCTACATTCTTGATACTCTTTGCTTCTTTCCTTCTCATAGAACTTAGCCATCCTTCTCTTTATCTCCTATTCCATTCCCTCCAGTCAGCTTTATGAGAAGACCCCAATAGTACATTGCTATTGCTGTTTATTTGAAGATTCCTCTTTCCATAAGCTGGGATGTCTTTGAGCATCTGACTGCCTGATAACCTTTAAGACCCAGTGCTGATGTCTGCGCTGGACATGAGAAGGAACCAAATATTATTGAATGGGAGTTGCCCTTTAATTAGTTGGTAAAGCAGCAAGTGAAAACTAATTAGGCAGGTAAGTGAGGGAGAGCTGTCCCAGATCAATTGCCCATGTGTTCTTTTTGTTTTCATTTTCTTTTGTTTTGTTTTGTTTGGTTTGGTTTGTTTGGTTGGTTTTTGAGACAGCATTTCACTCTGTCACCCAGGCTGGAGTGCAGTGGCACGATCTTGGCTCACTACAACTTCTGCCTCCCAGGTTTAAGCAATTCTCCTGCGTCAGCCTCCTGAGTAGCTGAGATTGCAGGCATGTGCCGCCACGCTCAGTTAATTTTGCGTTTTTAGTGGAGACAGGGTTTCGCCCTATTGGCCAGGCTGGTCTTGAATTCCTGATCTTAAGTGATCTGCCCACCTCAGCCCCCCAAAGTGCTGGGATTACAAGTGTGAGCCACCACACCTGACCTAATTGCCCGTATGTTCTTGATCCTATTCTAAACAACACTCGAATCAAAAGCCTAAGTTAAGTGAGTTCAGATGAAAACACACAGACCCACCAAAATCTGAATTATTATCTTCAAGTCATAACTAATTTTCACTTTTCTGTATATTGTTCTTTTTTTAAAAAAGAAGATACAGAGGCGTGTGTATGGAAGGAAATTCTTGAAAAGGTAAACCAATTAACCTTTACCAGGAAGCTAGTACAAAGAGAAGGGGTGGTAAAACGACATCATTTGTAAAGATCAGATTTCTCGCTCCTGCCAAAAATATGCCTACGAATGCCAGGAGACAGACTACATTTGCTCTACCTTGTAATCTACAGGTAACTTCTTAATGAAAAGCTAACTTTTTCTTGTCACCTTGTTATTCTTGCTTTCACATTTTTGGTTAATTGTGGGTTATCTGGGCTACACATATAAAGAAACAAAATATATCTTTACTTATATTAGTCTTTTTAAATATGGAACTTTTCAAACATGCATGAAGATAGAAAGAATGAAATAACTAATCTCCCTGTACTTCTTGAAGATTTTCCACAATTAGGCTGGGTACAGTGGCTCATGCCTGTAATCCCAGCACTTTGGGAGGCCCAGGCAGGCAGATCACCTGAGGTCAGAAGTTTCAGACCAGCCTGGCCAACATGGCGAAACCCCGTCCCTATTAAAATTACAAAGATTAGCCAGGCATGGCGGCACATGCCTGTATTCCCAGCTACTCAGAAGGCTGAGGCAGGAGAACCACCTGAACCGGGGAGGCGGAAGTTGTAGTGAGTTGAGGTCAGGCCACTGCGCTCCAGACTGGAAGATAGAACAAGACTCCATCTCAAAAAGAAAAAAAAAAAGATTTTCCACAATTATCAATATTTTGTTTCATTTGTTTTATCACCACTAATACTTGTCATTATTATCACCAACAAAGCAAGATTATTATTTTTTAAGTTCCCAGACCTCAAGTAATTTTATCTGTAAATATGGTGGTATGTATTGCTAATAGAGAACCTTTTTAAGTAACTAAGATACATGATCGTACATAATGCAATCATAGTCAGCAATATTCATTTCATATTGCTCAATACCAATCTATCTTCACACTTCTCTGCTACCTTAAAAATGTCTGCCTAGAGTTCATTTAAATTAAGGTCCAAACAAAGCCAGATGCAGTTGTTTTCTTTGGTAGGTGTGTTCCATAAATCTTTTCTAAGTTTTTTCAGTTTCTTGTACTTTTCCTCTTTGTCTATGCCATTTATTTGTTTTCATATAAAAACGATTTTCCAATAGATTTTTCAGATTCTACATTGGGCTGCGTGCAGAAATGAGTCAGCATAGCAGGATGGAGACTACTCTCCACAGAAAAGCGTTCTTGCAAGTCGGCCCTTGGTTGATGTCTAGGAATTTGGATTTTGGGAATGTGCCTGCCATTCCATGGTAAGACTAGCTCACTATGCCTGGACTGTTCAAAAAATATGATTTATTCTGAACACCTGCTTTTCTTTCGGGAGTCTGGCATTTTGGTATGTGCCTGGCAAAAGATCTTTATGTGACCAGCTCCCAGAAAACCTTGGGTGCCGAGTTTTTTAATGGGCTTCCCTGGGCAGAAACACGGCCTACCTGTTGCTAATTTTCATAATTGGGGGAAGAATGGATTCTGAGAGCCTCATAAGAGGGAGAGAGCACCGGAAGCTGACCTGGAGATTCTGCAGGCCCTGCCAGTGTCTTTGACCCCTGGAATCCAGTGTGTATTCCTATCACATCCCTGTTATAAATCTTAGTCATGAACACAACTGTATGCTAGCCCTATGAAACTTTCTAGAAAAACTCCAGAGGGAGGGTGGTCTTGAAGGCCCTCCACAGAAGTCGATTATGTTATCATGGCCTCTCCAACACATTCTTACATCCCCATGTTTCTGTAAACTGGATTTTTTAAATACTGAGGCTCAGTTGTATTGGAGGGAGGAGTAGATTAGAAGTGGGCTTGTACTTCTTTTATTTCATGATCTCAGGAGGCAGATAATAGCAAGTCATCTTCCCTCCAATTATGTTCTGATTGATCAGTAGAGGGAAGCATAGAGTCATTTTGTCATGGTTTTAAAGAAGTCGAAATATGTGTAGATGGGTGTGTGGGAAGCTGGTGAGGCTGGACCAGTTATCGAGTTCTTGGCTTTCCGTTCCAAACCCATCCGTCTTGATTCCCTCTGTAACACGGGGGCTGAACTTTGTAAACATTGCACATTTGTTAACCGGAACAACTTACAAAAGAATTGTGCTTCTTCTCCTGATCCCAATACTCTCCTTCTTATTCCCATAAGGAAGTAGTCACCAGGAAACTCTCTTCCAATGGGCAGCTTCTTTGCCAGAATGCGTGGGGCTTCAATAGTACATCCGTCCAATAAGTTTTGCTGGTGCCCCAGTGGATGGTTTCTTGCTGGCCAGGCCCAGCCTGTTGTACCTCACCAAACCTCTCCACCTGGGTTCAGAGCCACATCCCTTCCAAAGAGTCTGATCTCAAACTTGGAGACGGCCCTTTCCCAAGTCTCTTCTCTCTTTGGCAGGCCCCTTCAGTCCCAGAGGTAGTGCCTGCTCCCCACGTCTGTGACTGCCGTAGCCTTCAGATCGCTTTTTACCCTTCTTAGGACATGACCCTCTTTTACATGCACGCTTTATACGTGATATGCAGCCCCGCCCCTTCCCTCACATGAGGAAAAACAGGCTTCAAGTCATTGCGTCATAATAACAGTTGCATTAGTTACTCCTCAAATGTAGTCAGGGTCCCACTGACTATTCTGTTACCTGAAAGCTAGATTGTGTAACAATAGCTTATAATTTGTATGTAAAGTAATAAAGGGAAGGAGAAAAAGACAATAAAAATTATTATTTATAAAAAACACACACACATAACAAGGAAAGAGAAAATATGCAAAAGCATAGAACGCTCATTTCTGCTTATATATACATGTGCATTATTTTCTTAGGATCCATTCCATATTTCCACACTTCTCTTGCTCTCAGCCAAGAAAATCAATTAGTCAAGATTCCTTATTGGTAGACTAACTCAAGCCTTCATTTCTAAAGAATCTGAATCTTCAATAGGCCTACTTTTGATTGTTGCTTTGATTTTCACTAAAAATTAATATAATGATTTTCATTTTTTCATTGACAGATAAAATGGTTTGTATTTTCTGTGTACACTATGATGCTCTGAAGTACATATACATTGTGGAATGGCTCAATCCAGCTAATTCGCATATTCATTAGCTCTCATAGTGCTCATTTTTGTGGTAAAAACACTTTACTCTCTTAGCATTTTTCAAGAATACAATATATGATTAACTCTCATTGTCATGTGCAACGGACATCATTCACTTATTCCTCCTGCCTAACTGAAATTTTGTATCCTTTGAACAACACCTCCCTAGCTCCCTCCCAGGATCCTTGCTCTGATCTGTCCATCTTTACTACTGAGCACAGAAGCACCAGGAGACATCAGGATCAATAAATCACTGGGTTCCAGTGAGTCCTCCTTGCTCCGTGTACTAAACACGAACCCAATCTCCTTTTGGTAATTTGGTAATTTCCACCCCCAGCCAGCAGAGGCGCTCTTTTCTTGCCTATTTGTTTAGGGATGGCTGTCTCATCCTTCAATTCAGTAAAACCATTGTTGAGTCCTCTGCTGGGCCAAGACATTGTCTTATGGCCTTTGCAATTTTATGATTACAACCCAGATTATTTCAGAAATTTTTTCAGAGTGAGCTTATTGCAAATTTCATGCACTGCATTTTATTTTGTTCATTGGCTTATTTCAGTTCTGAAACTGGCCAATGCAATTAGCATTGTTCTTAAATAGGAGCACATTTGGACAACTTTGAAAGGCCAGTCTCCTACTCCTAAGCCAGCATTGCCTGTTTTCAGCAATGCATATGCAAAACAGGCAATGTTTCCCCAGAGCAGGGTCTGCCTTCCTGAGGGCCCTGGCTTTCAAACTACTGCTCACTCTGTGTCAGTGGCACAAAATCAGTTTAATGGATTGGAACCAGGTATTAAAAAACAGAATAGGCTGAAACAGAACAGCATAGAGAATAGAGTAAGAAATGTCAGAGCACATTATAGGTAGTAAGGGTGTATACAAATTTATGAAACTTCTCTTTGAGTTTTGAATGTGTATGATCACATACTACATCATTAACATAAAATGTAATTCTTGCTGTGGGTTATGCTACAAAAGTGAAGTTCACTTTTCTACAACTTATACTATGAAATGGCTAGTGCTTACACCTAAATGCAGAGAACAACCTTGTATGGGTAATACAGTGATGTTAATTTAAAAGAAACACTCATCCATAGGTTTCAGCTTTAATTTAAAAAAAGATAACCATAATAACACACAAAACTCACACTCATGTACATATAATTACTATCTCCCAGGCCACATTCTTAGTGTGCCTTACTACAGACTTATTCTTCACTATCTCAGTGAATCACCACCTATCCCCTTGGAATCGACATTATTATTATCCTCATTTTTCAAATGAGGAAACTGAATCGCAGAAAGGTAAAGTAATTTCCTGAAGGTTGCACATTTAGGAAGAACTGGAGCTAGAATTCAAACACAAATAGGCAGCCTATGTTTCCCTGAATCTATTGGCGTTTCTTACCTGGTCATCTGGAGAAGAGAGATGAATGGGAATTTGTTTCATAATCCTATTTGCATAAAGCCAATTTATTTCTTAAGTGATAGGCAGTTAGTCTTGGAGTAAGGAGGGTGATATCATGTTTAAATTGAGCAGCAGCTAGCTCCAAAATTGTGGCAGCATCAGTAAGAACTCTGATATTGTTTGTGAGTCTAGTAGAGAAGTGTGGTGAGTGATTAGCAATGTCTGCCATGGGCACAGAATGAGATAATGGCACACATGCCACCAAGTAAGTGTCCTGCAGTGTTTCTCTGAAGCACTGTGGCCTAGGCCTAGGTTCTAGTTCCTGAAGAAACAGAAGTGAACAAAAAAGACAAATGAACTTTCCTATGCAGGAAAGACAATAAAGATAGATAATAAAATGAATACTTGAATACACACACCATTTTAGGTAGTCACTTTGGATACTAAGAAGGAAAGAAAAGCAGTGCAAAGAAAAAGAGATGGCACAGAGATAGGCAGTGACCCACTAAGGTATCAGGGGAGCCATCTCTGCATCTCTGCAGAAGAGATGTTTACTGGGACAGAGGAGAGAGTGAGCCCACAGATAGCCACAAAAAGAGCATCTGAGGCAGAAGAAATAGCAGAAGAACATGCCACTTCCTTGCCTTACTCAAGGAATAGGCAAGACCTGTCCTAAGCTTTTCGGCCTTCTAGATATAATTTTAAATTGTACAAAAAGCTCAGAAGCATAGGCATGAGCATGCTAGAAGAATTTGTAGAGAAGCAAGTGTCTTTTATTTTGGACTTTTTAAAAAAATTTATTTATTTTGAAATAGAGTGTTGCTCTGTCATCCAGGCTGCAGTGCAGTGGTGTGACCCAGGCTGCAGCCTTCACCTCCCAGGCTCAGGTGATCCTCTCACTTCAGCCTCCCAAGTAGCTGGGAGTCATGGGCTCATGCCACCACACCTGGCTAATTTTGTTTTATTTTTTTTTTTAGAGATGAAGTCTCAGTATGTTGCCCAGGCTGGTCTCAAACTCCTGGGTTCAAGCAGTCCTTCCACCTCGGCCTCCTAAGGTTGCTGGGATCATAGACATGAGTCACTTTGTACATTTCAAAGTTTTTTTTTAAAGTAATTTATGAGAGGCACGTAAACGAAAAATATCAAAATACTTTATAAATTGTGTAAGTGTTATCTCAGTTAATAACACATTTGAGGTCGCGGTTTGGAATTCCTTCTAGGTCTTCATGATGTGCCTGCTAAGAAGATATTTGCTCATTTCTCTGTGGCAACCAGAACCAATTTCAGAATAAGGTCATTTTTAAAATGTAAAGAAATTATACATTATACGACACCCCATCCAATATGGTTCTACGTTCCAATGACCTAGTTAAGTTTTTCTCAGCTGGGAATGATTTCTTCCCACAGAAGACATTTGGTAATGTATGGGGACTACTGAGGTTATCCCAATTAGAGAATGGTACTGACCTCTAGCCGGCAGAGGCCAGGATGCTGCTGAAAATCCTACAGTGCACAAGAAAGACCCTATGACAAGGAAGCATCTGACTTATAATGTCAATATATAAAAGGCTGAAATGCCCTGATTTAGGTAGAAAGCACTGTTAACAAGTGGACACTGAATCCCTTGTCTCTGCTCTGATTTTCTACAGTTGCCATGGAGACCAGGTGATACATGGATGCAAATTCAGTGGCTGGGCAGAAGTTTCAAGGTCAGGGCAAGGGAAAAGACAGACAGTAAATGAGACTGCAGAGGCAACACTAACAAGCAAGGTTCTGCAAGGGCTGAACATCACATTCATCACACTTTGGAGTTTGCCCTCGGAGATCCCCCTCCTGGAGCAGGGGAATTCCTGATCTATCAACTTCTGTGTCAGTCTCCTGAACCGGAGGACCGGCTTCTTTTCCCTTCTTCTCCATACTCAAGAAAACACCTTAATGAGAGAGCTGGCTGCAAAATCCCTTCCAAGAGATCATGGGTCATCACAGTCAGAGACATGTCAAAGCACAGGCAGTGCAGGCTGGGTGGAAATGCGGTTTGGAAATTCAGAAGGAGTTTACCACTTGAATAACAGATGCATTGTGTCATTTCTTCTGGTGGTCATTTTGACATCGAAGCAATCATCTTGAATTTTGCTATTTCTTTCTAATTTTAATTCCCTTCTATTTGGCTTTATTATTAATCCAGAGAAGGCTTTTCTTTTTTTTTCCAAAAAAGACAAATATTTGGTATTGATCATCTTACCAAGAAGAACAGAAGAGTATGGCCATGTTACCTTAGAGCTATTAATGCTATTGCAGCATAGGATGGAACAATTGAGGCTTCATTTGTGCGGGGAGAGAATTCAGTCTTCTTCAAAGCTGATCTCTCTCTCTCTCTGTGTGTGTGTGTGTGTGTGTGTGTGTGTGTGTGTATCTAATACCAGGATCTCATTTTATCTGTAATTGAAACGTAAACTAATGCACTAATATTAGTCTATCACCTATCGAGAAAAAGAGAGTCTTCAGTGATCAGAAATCAACTTAATACACTCTAAGTCCTTTTAACATCTTACACCACTTAAACCACACAGGCACATGCATGGGGTGAGTGTAAAAACAAACGGACACGTCATAGAAGACAGTTCGCAATTTTATCAGAAGTCTTAAAATATATTTACACTATGAATTCGTGTTTCACTGCGAAGAATATATCCTAAGAAAGTAATTTCAATGCTGCAGTTAACTGTTGCTTCTGCCTGCCCTGGAAAGGTTGTTCCTTCCGCTACTGGCACCCAAATTCCCTCTGGGAATGTCTCTCGTGCCCACTCTCCCCCCATGCGTTTACGTGGGGCTGGTGCCCTCCTCTGCTTAGAGAGCAGTCCCAGTGTCAGGTCTAAGGAATTAGTGAATGTCATTGTTTTGCACTGTAATCTGTTCAAAGCTCTAGGCCAGGCATGTCCCAGAACATTAATAGAACTGTGGAAATAAGAAGGTCTCTTGTTAATCACATGTATTGCCGGAAGGATATGAGCTTGAAAAGGTAGGGTACCACCACACGGACAGAACCTAACTAAGAAGGTATCTGTCACAGAAAACAGTAGGGCTGAGCATGTGAACCTAGAACGGACGCCTGGCCTCTCTCACCATCGGTTAGAATCTTGGCTTGAGGAAGACAGAGCTTCTGTGTGCACTGCTGTATCTCTGCTACCAAGAATGTCATTTGGGAGATGCTCATAAATTGTGGAATAAAGACTTTGGGGAACAAACTCCTGATGAGGGCCCTCGAGTACCTCCACGAAGCCATTCCTAAAGCCAATGTACTTCTTTCCAGTCACGACATTTAACACATTCTTGTTGTGTGGGTGTGTGTTTGTTTTCTGGCTTAAGGCAGCTTGAATTGGGTTCATAACAAATAAACATTTCTAATACAAGAGATGTCTGCACAGGGGTTTATTCACGATACTCGTCTCACAGTTTGCTCTGGACTGTGGTTATTTTGTATTTCGCTAGCTGGGGAGGATGAACGTGAGACAGCCAAGTAGAAAGGGCTCCCCGAAAGAACCTCGGTCCGGCCTGGACACTGGGAGGCTGCGCGCTGGGGTGCGGGCTCGGGAGGTTCGCGTCCTTTGCAGGAGGGAGGAGCCTGGCCTCTCCTGTTCTGGGGTGAAACTGGGGATTCCGTCTGTGAGGCAGGCAACCGGCTAGCAGAACTCTCGCTTTGCTGAGAGTCCCTGTTTTCCTTTTTTATTTTTTCTTTTCACCCAATCAATTTTATTTTTCTCACCTTTCAAGGTGTCTGCAAGCCTAATCTTTCACGGCCGTGTGAGAAGAACCTGGCTTTTAGCTGAACTAAAAAGAAAGGCCTACTACAAATGGGGTCACTGTTACAGAGAGATGCTCTTAGATTCCATGCATTTAATGAGCAACAAGTTTAGTCTTGTGTAGGTTGGTCTACCCATACATTTCCTAGAACCCCTAAAGGGGTTTATGGATATCACCTTAATCACCTTACAGTTCTCTGAGACGTCTTGAGATTTTACATCCTAGGTCCAGTTTTTCTGTAGGTCCAGGGGATCAACAGCCCCTTTATGCCTTGGGCCAGCATTTCACAATATCCCCCTAAGTCCACCTCCCTGTGAATCTGCGGAGTGAGTGTGTGTTACCAAATCTGTAACATAACCGAAATAAGGCTCAGCTCATATCCAGCCAGGAAATCTGTTTACATTTACAGTGATAGAAAATAGCATCAACATAATGCCCAACAATAGATTTAATAAGAACTTTTTTTTTTTTTGAGGTGGAGTTTTCCTCTTGTTGCCCAGGCAGGAGTGCAGTGGCACGATCTCAGCTCACTGCAACCTCTGCCTTTTGAGTTCAAGCGATTCTCCTGCCTCAGCCTCCTGAGTAGCTGGATTACAGGCCCCACCACCATGCCTGGTTAACTTTGTATTTTTAGTAGAAATGGAATTTCACCATGTTGGCCAGGCTGGTCTCGAACTCCTGACCTCAAGTGATCCACCCACCTCAGTCTCTCAAAGTGCTGGGATTACAGGCATGAGCCACTGCTCCCGGCACATCCAATAGTTTATCATACAGTTATTAAAACCAAGTTCATTTAATGCACTCACTTAACAAATATTTTTTGTGTCCTGTTCCCAGATTCCCAAGCTGGCCCTGGGAGACAATGGTTTAAACAAATGTCTACCTCGCCTCTGAGCAACTGATACTTGCTTTCCAGTGGGAGAGGTGGATAATAAACAAGTCAATAAGCTAAATAATTACAAACTATAGTAACTCTATAAAGAAAAGGGAGCTGTGATAAGAAGTAGAAAAGATAGGCGGGCGGTGGCTCAAGCCTGTAATCCCAGCACTTTGGGAGGCCGAGACGGGCGGATCACGAGGTCAGGAGATGAGACATCCTGGCTAACACAATGAAACCCCGTCTCCACTAAAATACAAAAACTAGCCGGGCGGTGGGGGCGCCTGTAGTCCAGCTACTGGGAGGCTGAGGAGGAAGGGTGACCGGGGGGAGCTTGCAGTGAGCGAGATCGCGCCACTGCACTCCACCTGGGCGACAGAGCGAGACTCCGCCTCAAAAAAAAAAAAAAAAAAAAAAAAAAAAAGTAAAAAGATAAAGCCTATTTTCTCTAGGGGTAATCAGGGAAGGTCTCTCAGAGGAGGTATTGACTCTGAGACTTAAAAAAAAGGAGGAACCAGCCATGCATAGCAAAAGAATGTCCTCGTGCACTCAGGGAACCAACCAGTTCTGTGCAGCTGGCATGTCGTGAGTCACAGGAAAACAGTACGAGATAGATCTGAGGTGGAGGTGAGGAAGGAGTAGTCTTCCTGGTTCCTTTCCACCCCAGTAAGGAAGCATGATTTATGTTTGCTTATTTTCATGAGAATATATCACTGAAGAATAAGTAAAGAAAAATATATTACATGCATGCAAAAAATGCATTATCACTCATGGATAGAAATAAATGTTGGTAAGGAATACTTCAAATATTCAAGAATATAATGGGTTTATGAGTGATCTTTTTGTTACTTCTTTTCGCCTATCTACGAGGGACATATGTAAAAAGAAAAAGACCCATAGTTTAAACACAATGACACTGTAGAAAACTTAACAGATGCCTGCGTGTAATGTGGTTGGCAAACACTGATGACTCGGCATGTGAGGCACAGGCAAATCCTAATGGAGGGCTGCTCACCATCCAGAGAAGCGGACCTGTCATTGCTGCTCTCCCGTTAACATGTGAGGTCATGTGCACAGATCCTCAAAGATGACTCTTTAATGGGATGTGGGCACCACGATATATAATTCTACAATATTCATACCGTGGCTCATATGCCATTTGAAAGCTGGCAGAAATAAACCCTTGAGAACTGACATGGCATCTCCCTAGACCCCAGAAATTTTGTCACAGGAAATATTTTGATTGTGTTAATCACTATTGAATTGCCCATTCCCTGCCTTCCAATCAGCCCTTGTTTAAAGCTTATTTTCTGTGCCAATCAAAGATTTCTTTCAGATAATCATAAGAACTCTTCTTTGGGAGCTAACAAATGTACTCATTGGGTTTCACTGTCTACACCTCCAAGGGAATGCTGGAAGACATGATGCGTATCCTAATGCTACTCACTTTATAGCTGTACTCAGATAAATGTGAATTTGGTTTCAATCTTCAAATGCATTGTCTGACATGAGTTGTGTAGACCACTGCTCCATGATTACATTCGGGGAGATTCAGAGGTTCGTGACTGTGTCTAAGCCAAAAATAGTGGCAGTATGTCATGTGAAATAAAAGTGAGTAAAAGATTACATAACGGAAAATATGAAAAGTGAATTTCTCCAGGGTATGCCTTCAAGATTGCAGCCAACCACATCTCCCAACAGGAGAAACTAAAAGCACACAGACAAAATATTTTTAAGCTTTTTTTTCTTTTTTTTCTGACAGAGTCTCACTCTGTTGCCAGGCTGGAGTACAGTGGTGTGGTCTCAGCTCACTGCAACCTCCGCCTCCTGGGTTCAGGCGATTCTCCTGCCTCAGCCTCTCCAGTAGCTGGGACTACAGGCGCCCACCACACCCAGCTAGTTTTTGTATTTTTAGTAGAGATGGGGTTTCACCATGTTGGCCAGAATGGTCTCTATCTCCTGACCTCGTGATTCGCCTGCCTCAGCCTCCCAAAGTGCTGGGATTACAGGTGTGAGCCACCGCACCTGGCCTAAGCTACCGTTTTCAAGACATTGGAGAGCCCTAAGGGGAGGAGGCCATGAGCGACAAAGACCTCGGTATAAAGGAGCCCGGTTGGTGTCAGCTGCTGTTTTTCACAACCTTTATCCATTTAGGCAGTTACCAGCTTCAGTGTGATGGGGTGGGGGACTGGGAATCTCAGCAGAAATCCTAGCATAAAACAGAAGCCAGGTAGCATTCTCAGCAGCCTCACAAGGACAAGGAAATAAAAATTGGAGTTCATGGTCATCAAGGTAACTCGAACTTTAAAGGCTAAGGTCTAAGAGAAATGGGAAAAACAGAAATGAACTCAGAGAGTCTTCTCAACTGAAGGCATTTGAGAATGCCTTATTTTCACAGTGAAAGAAGCAAAGAACCTGCAGAGAAACGTCATTAAATGGCTGAAAAGCTAAACATAGCTTTCAGCAGTCTCATAGTTTCAGGGAGATGAAAATTACAGTTAATGGTTGTCTTGATTTATGACAAGAGTGACACCATAGTACAGTGGCGGAAAGAATCATTCTTTGGATGTATGGTGCTGGATCAAATGAATATTCATACAGACAAAAAATGAATCTCAAGACTTATCTAAAAGTTATACACAAAACTCTAAATTGCCTGCACTTCTAGAAGTTACAGATAAAATGATAACCCTTCTAGAAAGGAGGATAGGAGAATCTCTTTGTGACATTGGGTCAGATGAACATTTTCTAATTAGTTCATGGAAAGTAAAAAACTTCAAGGAAAAAATCAATTTAGCTACATTAAATTGGAGAGTCTTACTTAACAAACAAACACCAATAATTAGCTTGACTATGGTCATTTCACAATGCACATGTATATCAAAATATCACGCGGCACACATAAAATATACCAGTTTTTGTTTGTTGATAATACCTCAATATAACTGTTGGAATAAAAACACTGGTAGGAAAAGGCAACCTGTAGAAACACTATAAATATATTTTTTTAAAAGATGAGATTCAATAGAAACGCTGGGAAATTTTGGAACAAGCATTTCATACAAAGAAAAAAACACACACACACATCCAAATAATCACTGAAAGTCAGCATAGCAGCTAATTCTGGGTGTGGCGGTGTCTTACCGGGTTGAAAAGGGGTCTTTTTGGGGGGCCAGTAGTATAGTAATTCTTAATTTTGATGTTAGTTATACAAGCATATTAACTTAAAAAAATTGCTGAGTTCTACACCTATGATTTGTGCCTTTTTCTTTATATCAACTGTATATGTAATTTCATTTAAAATTATTTACTTAAATTTTACTTTAAAAAAGAGTAGGAACACTTCCACTTCCAACCAACATAGAGTAATGAGAGCTGCTTTTACCCATCCACCTGATACAGACCAAAAAAAACCTAGAAGTAAAAATATTTGAAACAATAGATTGTAAGACATTGAACGTTAGCCAACAAGGGACGCTAATCCCTGAGGGATGGAAGACAAACTAGATGGATATTACAATGCTTCTAGTTTACGGCCTCAAGAGAGTATTCTTGCTGTGGTACAGGGAAAAAGAAAGCTCTTTGATTTGAGGACTCTGAGAGACCAGCAGACCAGAATCAAGAGGACATCATACTGAAGAAGAGAGAGCAGCGCTCTCTGAGAGAGAGAAAGAACCCCCACATTCTTCAGAGGAGCCTCAGTTAACATGAAACAGAATTCTGGTCAGCAGAGG